GTTGTAACCTTATAGAAATCACACCCTATACAAAATTAAGCCTTTTTTTTTGGAATTACTATAGGCACAATTAAATGCCCATTGCAGGTATAAAGCATCGACTACAGTAAATAAATAAATAGACATAGAGTGAACATCTGAGTTCCTAGGGGTTGCAATCCCAAATTTCATAAATCGAGAACGTTATACTTTCGGGATCGGATCCACTTTCCTCATGAGCGAGCTCCATAGATTTTAGGATCGGGGTCACAGCCTTGTTAGGATCTAGTTTCGAGAATGTCGGGATGGTGATCTTAAAATTCTGAGAGCGGGGATCTAATTTGTTCGGGAACCACATCTACAATGTTACGGAACGCTTTCCGTGAGACAAGGGGAGCGAGATTCGTTAAGTAGAGGGAGAGAACTCTATTGTGAATGAGATCGAGATTCGTGAATTAGCAGAAGCGAGCTCCGTTGTAAATGAAAGAGAGATCCATGAAGTAGAGGAAGCGATCTCTATTGTGAATGGGAGCGAGATCCTTGAAGTAGAGGGATCCGTTGTGAATAGGATCGAGAATCCTAAAAATTGGAGCGAGATCCCAAAAAGATGGGAACGGGTTCTGGGCGAGATCCCGGCTTCGGAAAGCTGGAGCAAGATTCCAGATCTGGAGGTGGTGCTCGCGGTAACTATGATTTGCCCCACTGGTCATCTGGAGAGAGAGAGAGAGAGAGAGAGAGAGAGAAGAGAGAGAGAGAGAGAAAGAGAGAGCGAGAGAGATGGCTTGCTAGTTTTAGGGATAGCACATAGATGTCCGTATTTCAAATACTAGACAACTGTTTTGCTTTGCACGGTATAAAATCTACCGGTCCAGTGTTCGTATTACCGGACAAGGGGGTAACTTGGGAAAAAAAACACCGCGAAGGGGGGTGCCGCCCGTAATTTGAGACAAACATGATCCCATTTTGTATTTGACCCCCCGTAAAAAAAGTAAAAATGCTTCTAATTGGGCTGGCCACGGCCCAGCCCAATAGATCATTTCGAGCCCTGCCGGCCTCCTCACTTGTAAATTTTTGGCCAGGCCAAATAGTTTTTTGGGCTTTTCTAGGCCTCGAATTGACCCGGTGGAAGCCCTATCCATCACTAAGGAACTAATTACCCTAGTATCTCTAACAAATGCTGAACGTTGTCAAGTTCCAGTTTTTGGCAGGTCCAGAGTACCCTAACAATGGTGCACCTTAACAATCTGTCATACGATTCACAACTCCCACTTTCCCCCGCCAGTGGACTAAGGATTAGAATGGAAAACAAAACCGATATCATTAATGAATGCTAGTGCTTTAGTAGTGGTCAAGCTCCCTGTTTTAGCTTGTTAAAAAATTCTACTAGTATAACTTTAGAAAAGGGAATAGATCCTAGGCTTGAGTGTTAGAGTGGGGGAGCGATAATGTGATGTCTAGGTTTAATTCATATTATCCCATGAACAGGTCCCAAAAAAAAAATACACGATTTTTTAAAAATCAGCTGACTAACTTGGGATTGGTCAGCGGCCAATCCTGTTTTGGCCCGATTCTATGGTCATGTATGCATGAATTATTTTCAGTGCACTAATCGGCCAATTGGTGCACTAATAAGCGATTTGTTCTAAAAATCAACTAATAGGTGCATTGTCATACTGCAGAGTCTACAAATCTGTCATTTTAACATTTTTTATATATTTTTTATTTTTTTTCTTTTCCCTATTCTTCTATTTCTTTAGTTAAAACTTTATATATTATTATAATTTTTTTATTTGCTAACTATAGGGTTTGCTGCCTTGGGCGAGTTGACTCAGGCGCACTATAGTTGGTCGGCGCAAGAGGGTGCCAAGCCTGTAATTCCCTCCACTCGGGGGGATAAAAATTTGAGCATTGTTCATCTGATTTGATCTTTAATCTAATACCTACATAACCAATCCCCCGAGGGGCACATAGGCATACACATATATACAGATATGAGAGAGATGGAAATTTATCAAAATTGTCATAATGAGACAAACATTTTTATATTTTTCCTATATTTTTAATTGAATTCTAAAATACCCAAAAAAACAAACATGGTCTTGAGTTGAAATATTATAATATTTTATATTATTTTATCATATTATATTATATATTATATTTATTTTTATTTTATTGATGTAATTTATATTATATAATATATATTGATTACATATTACATATTTATTATATATTGATCACTGAAAAAGTATTGCTTCAGGTGCCTAATCATTTTCTCTGAAACCCAGTTATGCTTATAATATTTTTTTTTTTGCTTTCCTTATGTGCCAATACAAAAAAAACATGTAAATTTTGAACATTTTTTACAATTTTTTGGGATATTTTTGGGATTTTTACCAAAATTGCATTTTTTCTTTTAAAAAAAATTCGGGCACTAATCAACGATCTAGTCGGAATTGGTCAGACTAATCAGATCGGGCCAACTAATCAGATCGGATTAGGCCATGACCGACTAATCAAATCTGGCCAGGACCGACTAGTCGGCCCGATCCGTTTGTTTCGAACACTGATATAAAAGAATAACCACCAGAGTTTACATAAGAGAATGGAAATGAAAAAAGTGATCAAATGAAAAGAGAAGCTTTCAAAAATTTTACATGAGTGACGTTTCAAGAAATCAAAAAGTTAAAATGCTAGATAAAGCCACTATAAACTCAAAACGAAGAGAGAGAGAGAGCATGACCTTACGCAAGGTCAAAAGTTTTACATGAGTGACGTTTCAAGAAATCAAAAAGTTAAAATGCTAGATAAAGCCCAATATAAAGTCAAAACGAAGAGAGAGAGAGCATGACCTTACACAAGAACAACGTTTAATTTGAATGCGGGAAAATCATGGAACAAATGGAAAACGTAGTAAGAGATAGATCCGTATGGAGAAATTACTGTCTATAAAGAAATATACCGGATGAAACTATTTATCTTTGATATAAAGTGGTCATATTAATAACTGTAATCATTTCATTGACTAAGTTCAAACTTCAAAAATTTTTTTTTCGAACTTTGTGACACATTCAAGCTATGAAATTCTATCAAATTTCGCATTGTATGCTCGTAAGTAATTGTGACCAAAGGTAAATGGTCTCATTGTATACAATCCCTAAACAAAAATGCATTAAACTTTTCAGTTTGGAATTTGAAAAAAGAAAGTGGAAATGGGTAGTCTTCCTCTTTGCATTTCATTGAAGGCACCCTATTTAGAGTACGATATTGAGATAGAGAGAAATAACAATTCCATTAAATTAAGCTTTTATTTTGAACTTTGGAGATTAAAACAGAAGATATTGAAAGCAAGAGAAATAATTCCATCAAAATTACGTAAAGCTTTTTTTTTGAACTTTGGAGATCGAAAGAAAGATATACAGAGACAAAACCGTTGTTCATCAAAACTTAAGTTATAGAGAGATATAGAGACATGAGAAAGGTTTTTATACTTCTCCTATAGCATAGAAGATCTATGTTTCTCCTACCATTCAGCCATCAAATTTTGATCAAGAGAGTCACTCACCGTTTGATCTTAGATCCGAC